AAAAAAAAAAAAAAAAAGGAAAGAAAAACAAACCAAAGGATAAAAGTTTCATTTTGGCTCATAATTTCAGAGGTTTCAGTCCATAGTTAAATGGCTCCATTATTTCTGGGCCTTTGGTGAAGCACAGCATCATGGCAGAGGCCATAGTCAAGAGAAACTGTCCATCCCATGATAGCCACAAGCACAGAGAGAGGTGGGGAAGCTGAGAACAAAATATCATCCCCAAGGTCATGCCTCCATGACCCACTCCCTTCAACTAGGGCCCTTCGACTAGGGCTTAACTTTCTATCTCCTCCCTATATGGTCTTAAAATTATGAATCTGTCAATGGATTAATCAGTGATAAAGCTGGATCTGTCATGAACCAATCACCAAGTCCTCCGTACATGGCCTTTTGGGACATTTTAGCTCTAAACCGTAACAGCTTCATGGTGCAAAAAAAATGTAAAATATAAAATAAAAGTTAAATTCGCAATTTAATCAATTCTTCATTTCACCCAACTTCTTTTTAGCCTACTTCTTTTCTAGAAGTTGATTATGTGCTGGATCATTTAGAATTTTTAAATTGTAATACAAAAGTAGATATTTATTGCATACACACCTTGCTGGAAGCCTAGTTATATCTATGAAGATGCCCAGAAATTAAGTATTGCAGGTCTACACTGAATTAATAGCTATTAGCTTAGAGGACATGGTAGAAAGAGTGAATTAAGGATCTCTGAAAAATCCTTTTCTTCAAAAGCAGTAAGAACTTTGGCAAATTGTCAGAATCAACTTTTTCATAATACTAGAAATTAACCAAAGGCTTATACAATCCAAGGAATCAAGAAATAAGGGCTCAGAACAAGAAAAGAAATTAATTACTAATCAGAAAAACTTCCCACAAAGAAATTCCAGGACTAGATGTATTTATTGGTGAATTCCACCCAACGTTAAAGAAAGAATTAATTCTAAGTCTTCATAAATCCTTTATAGAATGATAGAAGAGGAGTGAACACTTCCCAATGCTTTTTTGTGGCCAGTGTTACCCTGTTATCTCAACTAGACAAAAAAGGACCACAAGAAAATTACAGACTAATTTCTCTCATGAACACATATACAAAAATCCTCAGTAAAATACTAACACATTGAATTCTGGCAACATATAAAATGGATCATACACTATGGACAAGAGGGATTCATCCCAGGAATGCAAGATTGATTTAACATATGAAACTCAACTGTGGAGTAAAACATTTTAATAGAATAAAAAACAAAAATATAAAATCATCCCAATGGTTACTAACAAAACATTGACTACACCCAACAGCCTTTCATAATAAAACACACTAAGGAATCAAGGAACTCTTTCAGTCCACTAAACTTATATATGTAAAAATCCACAGCTAATATCTTTACTGGTGAAGGAAGGCTGAAAATTTTACCCTTAACCCAAGAACAAAGACTCTTGCTTTGGTGCTTTTATTCAACATCATATTGAAAATTGTGGTCAGAGGAGTTGACAAGAAAAGAAAAGTCACCCAGATTGAAAAGAAATAAGTAAAAGTATCTCTATTTGCACATGAAATTATCTTGCATGTAGAAAATCATAAGAAATACACAGAAAATCTATTGAAGCTAATAAATAAGTGTAGTAAGATTCAAGGTACAAGATCAATATACAAAAGTCAATTACATTTCCATGCACTATCAATAAACAATCCAAAAATGAAAATACAATATCAATTCCATTTACAATAGCATCAAAAATAATAAATAATTAGAGATACATTGCAACAAGCACAAAAGAACACTGGAAACTACAAAATATTATTTAAATTGTTTGAATAAAATTTAAATAAATGGAAAGGTATCCTGCATTCAAAAATGAAAAAACTAAATAGTGTTAAGATGACAGTATTCCTCAAATTGGTCTGCAAATTTAATGTGATTACTATCAAAATCTCAGCTAGAATTACTTCAGGAATCAACAATCTGATCCTCAAATACATATGGATATATAGGGTACCCAGAATGTCCAAAATAATCCTGAAAAAGAAGAGCAACTCTGGAGGTCTTATACTCTCAACTTCAAAATTTACTACAAAGCTAAAAAACTGTGTGATACTGACATAAGACAGAGGTAAGGATCTATAAAATAGAATTGAGAGTCCAGATGTAGACACTTACATTTTGTTAGATTGATCTCATAAGAGTGCCAAATCCTTGAAAAAAAATCATCTTTCCAAGTGGTGCTTGAACAACTGCATCAAGAAGGAGCCCTTTTTCACACAAAAGTTAACAGAATGGATCAAAGACCTAAATGTAAGAGCTGAAATTATCAGTATCTTAGAAGAAAGATAGAGGTAAGTCATTGTGAACTTGAATTAGGCTACTGGATTTTTAGATATGACATAAATCACAAGCAATAAAAGAAAAAATAGATAACTGATAATCAAAATTTTTAAAAAATATTTCAACACAATTCAAAGGATGGGAGAAAATATTTGAAAATCATATCTCTGATAAAAGATTAATATCCAGAATGTGTAGAGAACACTTATACATCAACAAAGTATTCAAAAATGGGCAAAGAGCTTGCGTAGCAATTTCCCCAAAGATAATATATATAAATGACCATTAAGCAAATGAACAGATGCTTTGTTTAATTAATCATTAGAAAAGAATACATCAAAACCAGAATAAGCTACCACTTCAGCACCTATTAGTTTGTCTGTAGTCAAAGACATGGGCAGTAACTGGTGTTGGTGACAACATGAAGGAGAAGCCCTCGTGAAGTAATGTGGATCTGTCACTGTGGAAAACAGCATTCAGTCCCTGAAATGTGAAACACAGTGTGTAACCCAGGATCTCCGCCTGTAGAGATGCACACAAGGCAATGGAAAATATGTTCATCATATAAAAACTTGCACATGAATGTTCATAGCAACATTGCTGTTAATAGCCCAAAAGGGAAACAACTTGAATGTCCATCAACTGCTAAACAAACAAAAAAAATGTAATATATGCATGAATTATAATATTCCTCAGCTGTAAAAAGAATGAAGTAATGATACACACCACAACATGGATGGATCTTTGCACTTCCTATATGAAAGAATCAGACACAAAAGACTACATAACATATCTTTGTGTTCATATGAAATACGCATGATGGGCAAATCCATCAAAGACAGGTTAGATTGGGGAGGGGTGACTGTCAGTTGTTACCAAGTTTCTTTTTGAGATGATGAAAATATTCCAGAATTAGATAATGGTGCTATTCTACAACTTTGGGGTTTTACTACAAAAAAAGGATAAATTTTATGATTACATGAATGACACATCAGTCTCTCAAAAGGGTCCACTCAGTGAATGAATCTGACATCTGAAAACCAGCCAACCAAAACCCATGCCCCCAGACCCTTTAACTCTTACCACCTGGGCTTGCATCCCCTTCCCTAATCTCAGGGGGCCAGATACCAGACACCTGGAGACAGCCCCTCCACCCCCGTGCCCAGGGATCATCCTAAACCAGGTTTAGGCCAATCCTAAACCTGGTTGTCACACCTTTCCTTAGGACAGCATGATAAATGCTCTTTCTTCCCCTTACTCCCTCTATCTCCTGAATGAACGTGATGCCTCACTATGTGGCCCTGTATGGTCTGTCACATCTCCTGTAAACACGTCTTCCTTCCTCTTTATTTTTTGTCTTTTCTTTTTCCCATTGGTTACACAGATTAGTGGGTTGTAGTCTTGCAGATTTGTACACACATGTAACATATTTGGATCATTTCCACCCCCATCACTCTCCTTGCCCCTTCTTCCTTTCTGAGTCAGTTCTGTGCCTGTGTGTCTTATCCTACCTGGCCACAACAAATCCTGGGCACCCGTCAAACTTGGTTCCACCTCCTCATTCCTGATTGACTTTTGATGCCTCTGATGCTCTCCACCCTGGGCCTCCATAATTCCTGTGCCATCAAATCCCTGTGTCTCTCTTGCACTCTGTCTGTTGAGGCTGTCCAACATAATGGCCAAGATACCTCATCTCGGGATCCCTGGGGCATGGCACAGAGCCAGGAATTATTGGAAGCTCAGGAAGTATAGCATTTCATTTTTTAAGGCAAGAAATCTCCAGAACAGGCATGGAACTCCTTGAGCATGGAGACCCTGCCCAAGGGTGCATGGTAGAATGCACTCACATTCTGCCCTGGGCAAAGACTTGTGTGTGAGTGAGTGGACTACAATTCTGGCAGCGGGAGCATCGGTGGCAAGACAAGGTTGGGATCCTCCCTGAGATGCAAGCTCTACTCACACTGCTCTTCCCATTCTCGCTGCTCATGCTCACTGCACTGGCTGTGCAGCTGAGCCTGCTTCAGGGTCCAGTACAGCTCCTTTGCCCTTTGCTCCTCCTGGAGGCGAATCTGTTCCTCTCCCCGCTTCCGCTCCTCTTCCTCTTTCCTCTAAAAAAACCATGAAGACAGAATAACATTAGGAGACCATAACCCCTCAGAATTAAAAAGTGCCCCTGTGATGCTACAGCAAGTGGAGGTTGAGCTGAATTTGGGCAGACTGGGCCAGCAGTGACCATGCCATTGTCATGCCCTACAGTGGTGGATGAAGATAGTCACACTTGGTCAGACTCAAATGGGTTAGAACTGGGGACATAGCTTAGTGGTAGAGCACTTGCCTAGGAGGTCCAAGGCCCTGGGGTTAATCCCAATTACTGGGGAAAAAAATCAAATGATTTGAAATATGTGGAGGAATCTGTAAACTCTAATGAGTATTCTGGGCCATTATTGGTCATGCTTCCATTAGGAGAGAAAAAGGAAGGCAGATAAGAGGAGGTGTCTGGCCTTCCTGGAGGCCACGCAGCAGGATGTGAGTGTGTCTTATTCTGGAGTCTAGGCAAGGTGTTTCTAAGAAAGTAGGTTCAGGGGCCCAATCTCACATTTGTCCCATCTTCAAGTTCTGAAAAGGTTGTACGTGTGCTTGTGCATTTACTTTTGTTTACATAGAAGTAACATGTTAATGTTAAGCATGCATCATGACCTTACAAAAGACTTTTAATGAAAAACTACCATCCTCAAAATTATTTCACCCAACTCAACCTCTTCACCGTCCTCCAATGCTCATAGACCACCATTTCCGACTATTTCAGTCCTTCCTTCCTGTGGCAATATTGATGAATGCTATGAATGCTATTAATCTTTTATTTATCAATTCTAAACATTAAATCAGTCCTTTCTATTTTGGTATATGAGTTTTTAGCACTTAAATTTCCCACAGAGATGAACATCCATACTTTTCCTCTCCTCATCCACACAATAACTTGCATCACAATCTGGATAAATCAATGATCATTGCCAATGCAGTTCACTGCAACGCTAAAAAAGGGTGTTATTTTCACCAATTCTAAAAGTACATTTTAAAACTTTTTAGCTTCCCAAAATGTGCATATATCTTATAACTTAGTTTGTTTTTTATAATAGACAATAGCTTTTTTCTTCTTAATGTTTTTATAATCAATGGCATTTTAAATTCAGTAAAATGTGGAAATATGCTGTCTTTTTCTTTCCATTTTTTTGTTTGTTTTTTCCTGGGTTAATTCTTCTTCTTATGTTGCAAGTTGGATATGAAATTTCATCAGATGTAGTAAATCCTTTCCTGGGTTTAACCAACTTGGCAACTTATTTCCTAATACTTCTAAGTCCTTACTTATCTGAAAATGTTGATATGCTATCTTCACCTATCATTACTAACTTAGCTGGGCACAGAATTTGATTAAAAATTCTTTTCCTGCAGAATGTTAGACTTTATTGACCTTGTTTTCTAGCATTCAGTGCTACCATTTTGATTCTCACTTTTCTGCACAGGGCATTAAGTTTTCTCTCCAGAAGCATTTAGGATGTCTTTGGTGCTGATGTTCTGAACTATTCTAAATGGGTTTTCTTTTCTTCACTGTGTTGGGCCTTCAGGACTTTCAGTCTAGAGTTCCGTGTTTGTCTGGTATAATATGTATTCTTTGCTTAGAATTTCTTTGATAATTTCTTTTCCTCTCATTTCTTTTTCTCTGTAGGACTCCTACTTGTCTTGAGATGTTCTTCCAAGTGTTTTCTCACTTCTTTCTTGTTTGCCATCTCTTGTCTTTGTCCTACTTCCTGGTTAATGTCCTGGTCTACTTTGGGATCTCGAATGTAAAGTTCTAGGGATCCTTTCTATAAAATTGTTCACAATCTTCTCTTCAAGGTGAACAGTCATCTCTGTCCTTCCTGAGTGCTGTCTGGTCACCATCATTCCAGGAGTCAGTGGGGGAGCAGGCTACAGGCAGGACTGCCCATAGATCTGAGCAAGAAGGGTCCCTGGCCCAGGCCCCATGCTTTGTAGGAACCCATACTTTGAAGTATCTCCTTGTAAATTTTTCCAGGCCCTCATAGGATGGGGAGGGGTGTGGCTGCAGGCAGTAGTATTATCCAGGTAAGTCACCTATGCCCAGTCTAAATCTCATATATCCTCTGGCCCCCATTTCCTCCCTGGCTTACTCCTATATGCAACAAGGTGACCAGATGCCTCAAGGAACTCCAGGATCCATATTCTTGGCACTGGCCTGGGGCCAGGTGCCCGGACGTCAGTTCTAGGAGGTAACCAACAAGCAGATAAATCTTGTTGGTCAGCATAGTATCTTTATCTTTATCACAAGATCACATGAGATTGGGTTGCAGAGTAAAGCTAACAGACTCTAATTGTTAATACAAAGACCGTGCAAAAAATTATTTGCCATAAGGTAAATTCTGGCTCTGTGCCTCACTGTTCCAAGTTCAGATCTTAATCTCCGTCTTTATTATTTGTCCTTCTTCTCCCTTCATTCTGCCTAATAAAGCCCTAAATCTTTCCTTTTTCAACTTCCCTCTTACTCTGGTCCATGGCATCACAGAGAGAGAGAGAGAGAGAGAGAGAGAGAGAGAGAGAGAGAGAGAGAGAACAACCAGAGTGTTTCCAATCACTCCATTTGTAAGTGGAAAAGCCCAAGTCAAAAAAGGGGATCAAGAGGGTAGGCCAAGGGCAAGATACAAGCCCATATGGGGCAGTGCCTCTTGGGAAACAAAGAAAAGAGAGCATATCAAGGAAAGGGAGTAGCAACTTGAGCTGAAGCTACTGAGGCTTCGTAAACATAAGGACACTGAAGCCACGCAGCAAGAGCTGCCTGTCAGGGCCCAGATGCAACCACAGCTCCTACTCCCTGCAGCGGATTAGGGGCACATGTACTTGCTAGGGCTGCCATAACACGGTACCACAAACGGTGGCTTAAGCAATAGAAAACTGTTCCCTCAAGACTGTAGAGACTACAAATCTGAAATCAAGATGCCCCTTCCCATTTCTGCAAAGCCTACCTCCCTGTTTCCTATATTATATTATTTTTCTCTTTATTAATACTTTGGGTTGCTCATATAAGGGAAACCATTAGATATTTAACTTCCCATGTCTTATTTACTTCATTTCTAGCATTACGGTCTCAAAGTGTACCCACTTTCCTACAAATGACAAAAGTTTATCTGTCTTTATGGGGACATATGAGGGCAGGAAGAAGAAGGGGGAGTAGAAATAATTAATATCTGATGTGTATATATGCCAATTACCCAAGACAAATAGAATTATTATGCATTGTAAACATATACCAGTAAAAAGAAACTAAAAAACAGATTAGGGTGAGTTTTAGTAAAAGAACACTACCTAAAACATTAACTAAATATGCATTACATATTCAGTTTCATTATACACACACACACACACACACACACACACACATATCTTACATACATTAAAAAAACAAGTGTTGTGGGGCTGGTTTCATCCTGAAGCCTGTTTCATCAGGAGATAAGAGGCCACCTCACTGTGTCCTCACATAATCTTTCCTCCGTATGAGTGTTGCCTATGTCCAAATTTCTTTCTTATAATGAACCCAGTCATATTGGTCCCAACCATCCTAAAGATTTCTTGTTATTGTACCATGTTTTCCTGAAAACAAGACCTAGTTGGAAATTAATCAGCCTTGAAAACTATAGATAAAAAATGCCAGCCCCAATCAGCCTATCCTTACCTTACCTGCCTTAAAAAGGAGCCACCAAGCAAGAGAATAGTGATGGCAGGTAAGGCAAGGATAGGCTGATTGGGGCTGGCATTTTTTTATCTCTAGTTTTCAAGGCTGATTAGTTTCCAGCTAGGTCTTATTTTCAGGGAAAGGGAGTAGTTACCCATATAAAGAGCTTATCTCCAAATAAAGTAACATTCTGAAGTACTGAGAGTTAGGACTTTAATACGTGTATTTAGGGGAAACCCAAATTCACCCTATAACAAGGAGGCTTTTCCCAAGAGAAGGGTCATGGCTGGTTACCGTGGATAAGCAGCACTTCATGACCCCAAATCACTATGTGGTGCTCCTACTCCTCCCCACTGTGATAAACTTAATGTAGACAGTAAGTGGTAAATAGCAGTGTCTGTTCACCCAGTTATCTTCACCTCCATCTGCAACATGCTTCTCTCTCAATGGAAAATGGCCATTTACTATGACAAAGGATGACAAAGAAAACACTTTGAAACTGCAAATAAACCAAATTGCATCTTTCTCATCAAAGTTTTGCTAAAATGACTCAACTGTCAGGGCCAAAATTGCCTAAAAATTCCCACTGTTGTTGCAACTATGGACTCCTTTGGTCAATCTGAGGTCACTGAAGAAAAGCTCATCTATTTCAGTTCAGCAGCCTAGAGACAGCTACGTGACCGCTCACATTCTACTGAGAAGTGAACTGCCTTGTTCCAAGCCCTCTGAGCTGTCCAGCTTATTCATCTGCCTTCTCCTGATAACCCATCAGTAATAACACACCACAGAAGTCCTCAGAGGCCTAGGCCCACCTCTCCCCAGTGGAAAGTGTCAAACAAGGCCTCATGGTGGTGTTCAACAAGCCCCAATACCGCCAGGATGGAAGGTTGTGGGAGACCTGGGAGAGGAGAGGGAGGGTCACAGGACCAGAGGGAGAGAGCAGGAGCCCTACTGAGCCCTGTTCTGTGATCTTGAACAAAAGAAGCTCACAGAGGCAGCCTTACATTAAGAAATCAAGGTGACGAGATGGAAATTATATCAAGATCCCATTTTTCTTCTAAACAAGACTTTTATGTACATGTATCGGATTCAAATGGCACCAGTCACAACAGAATGGTTTTTACAAGCAGATTTCCAGCTGTCTTTTGTAAGTTGAACTGTGGGATTACTAAGTAACCAAAGAAAGGCCATTTGTGCCATCATTCAGCCCTATATCTAAGTCAGGTACTCTGTTCTCAAAGGAGCTGCTTCAGAAATTCACAGCAAAATAGCCATTAATATTCCTTCCCTACTAAGTATGATCACTATGGCACCCCATGTTCCTGACACTGAACTTTATCACAAGGATGCCATCTTCACAAACTGCAAAGAAGACAAAGACCATCTGGCCTTACCACACCATCCACGTTTTCTTTCCCATGTTGCTTGGATCTATAGCCTCACTAGTTTCTGCATTCCTACAGGTGTGTACCAAATGCACTCCTCGCTTCCCTCTAAAAACAGCACACTCTGCTCCTGCATGAAACATCTCCCTTTCTCTCACCCACTGACTTCTCTCTCTCCCCCCAGCAACATAGTCAATAAATCTTCCTTTCCTTGCTCTGGTCTTGGCAAATTCTCTTACCACCCATGTTACCAGTCAGGGAAAAACAATCTCACATGGCATATCGCTGTGAAAAGAATGCACAAAATGAAGAGATTTTGAAAAAAATTTTGAGTATTGAGATGGACAATTTATTTAGATGTTTATATAATTTATAAATAGTTATCCCACCAGAAATTGTTGCTATGGCTTTATGTATTTTATAAAGTACAAACAAGAAGAAAACATAACTTTAGGAGCGTAGCTACCATTTGGTAGGAGGCAAAGAAAAAAGATGGAAATGTGGAATTTTAGTAGTAAAATATATATACTGAACCCAAGGGGGCACTGAGCTACCCACCCCCCTCCAAATGTTTTTATTCCTTTATTTTGAGATAGGTTCTCTTGATATGTTGTCCAGGCTGTCCTCAAACTTGTGTTTCTCCTGCCTCATCCTCCAAAGTAGGTGGGATTACAGTCACGCACCACACCACCCTTGGCATCATTTTTTAAATATAAAACAAATGTGGAAAACATTGATGCTTTTGAATTTGTGAGTCAGATAGTTGTTATTTTCTATGTTTTTGGATATTTATATCTTATTAAACATTTATTTAAATTTTTGTAAAAAAGTGTTTTAATTAGAAATGTTTTAAAAGTTACAGTACTTTCTCTTCCATAGATCAAAGCTAGTCTCAAAGTCAGCACAGACACAAAGAGAGGAGGAATAAATCCCAACTCTCACAGAAGGGACTGACTAGGAATTTGTCTCCAGCCACATATAAACCATCCCAGAAACATTTTCAAATAATATTTCTATCTGTGTTTTAGTGACCTGCTGGAATGAAGAACTTGTTGTAGCAAAGGGGAAGAGCTTTAAAGACAAATTTAACAAGAAATACCCCAGCTCACACACCTGGGCCAACCAACTAGAATCTTTGATCTGCTGTCCCTGAACGCTCTCTGGGGCCCTCAGACTCACTGGTATTTCTGAGGCTCTTCAACATGAAGACAAACCAAATCAGGATGACTATTTCTACTAAAGAAGAAACATTACATTTAACAAATTAATTTTTAAAACACAAACAAACACATCGTAGCTATAACTTTCTTTGGAAATAACAAAAAAAGACTGCATTGGAATCCCCTAGTGACCTGAGAACCTAGCTAGATGGCCTTGCTGACCCCTCCACCACCCTGGGCACCAAGAACCCCATGATTTATCACCCCTTCTATCACCAAGGCTCTCAAGGAGACCCATCAATCAGAAGATCTCCACCAGTAACTGGATCCCTCCATCATCTTCTTATGAACTGGGCCAAGAACAGTTGCCTGAACTCTCCTTGGTCACCTAGGGCTCAGCCCCCTGGGGGGAATAGAGACCAAGATGAAAGAAGTGAGTATTGCTGTTGAGTCATAAAAAGAAGTAGAGTTCTTCCCCAGCAGTCTAATCATATGCAAAATCCAAATAAATCTCTCTCCATTGTATATTAGTTTGAACATATGATTACAGAATTATTGTTAATTTTGGTGGGGGTAGCTATTGTGACTCCACAGGACAATGTCCATATTCATAGGAGAGGTGTGCTAAAGTTCTTAGGGTTTTACCAGAGGTCTGAAAATTGAGGCTCCTAGACCAAATCTGGCCTCCCTCTATTTTTTTAAATGAAGCCTTATTAGAGCACAGCCCCGTGTTTTGTTTACATATTATCTTTAGCTGCAATTACGATAGGAGGCCACTGGCCTAGATAGTATGGCCCCAAAGCCTAAGATATTTACCTGGCCCTTTACAAAAACTGATCTGTAGAACTATCTTCCAAACTGTCCCACAAAACAATAATGGCACATAGATAGAAGATAGATAAACTGACTGTATATGTGTGTACATATATAGTAAATATACATGCATACATACATATGAGAAAGAGGGTACATTTCTATAAAATATTAATAAATTTTACATTCAAGTGGAAAATATAAATATTAATTATATCTTTCTTTCATGTTCTTTGCATATTTGAATTTGTTTAAATAAAATAAAACATTTTAAGAGTAAATACTGCTTTATTTAAAAACTCAAGATAATCTCCCCTCAAAAGTCACAAATTATGGGAAGTTAAAGAGATCAACAACTATATACATATATGTATATCAACAATTGTAATAGTCGTAAACTAATGGGGACAATCTCATTCAAAATTGCAATGAACAACCTTAATCCTAAGGGTTAATTAAAAATAGAACTGCAGAATACCCAAAGTAAATAAATTTTACCAAGATCCAAAACATACAAGTACATAATTATATATAAATTATTGAGGATGTTCAGCATTAGGTGACCAGTACATTTTACAGATATTTAATAAAAATTTAACAAAGACAAAAATCTTTGGATAACAGAAGAAATATATCACATTCCTGAAGAAGAAAATTCAACAATCCAATATTGTAAACAAAAGTGTCAATTTGTTATAAACACAGATATCACATTGAATCAATACCAGTGAAAATCACTGTGGGTTTTGTTGTTGAGGGGAAGGATAGTGATAAAATAAATCAAAAGTTCCCTGTTAGAAAAAAATGGGTAGATTAACCAAGGACATTTTGAAAATGAAGAGCAATGGTAGGTTTCTTATCTTAATACATCCAAAAAATATTTTAAAGCTACAATAATTAAACAGTTAAGTGTAGCTTAGGAACAATAAGTCAGAGAAGATAAATGAAATCTAGAACTAAGTAAAAAGTAAAACTCCATTCAAGGCAGCAAGTCCAACAGAAAAGAAGATAGATTCAATAATAAATGATACTGGAATAACTTGCTAATCATTTGGAACAAATACAAAACCAGAGCCTTATTTCATAACATTCTGCAAGATGAAAAAGGAAATAAAATCATGAAAGATATATAAAAAATGTAGATTAATATTTTATAAGCTCATGGTGACACAGATATTTCTGAGCATGGAACAAATAATAATATAGAAAAAGAGTCATAGATTTGGTGAGTAAAAATTTTAAGCTTCTGTACACTGAAGATACTATAACCAAAAGTAAGGAAAAAACAATAACAAAGAAGAAAACCCAGTGTCTTTACTATCTAATCATTATGAGGGATGGAGTGGTTTCAAACGGGCAAATGCCACAAATATACTGACAATTCCTGCCCAACCAAACACTAGCATGGCCAAGGGTGACTCCAGTCCCTGTCAAAGTGCCTGCCTGAGAAAGCTCAATGCTACCAGAAGAAAGTACTGTTTTCCTAACCAGCACCTAATGATGGGCCCTGACTGCCTTTTTTGGAGCATTTACTAGAAAGAGCTTACAATTCTGACTATGTGTCTCTTACAACTCAGAAGCATCTCTCTCAAGGACTGGAAAGTCATTCCTTTGAAATGTCCTCATCAGGAAAGCAAAACCCTTCATTTCCCAGGCTCTGAAAGAGGCAGAGTCTAAAATTCAGTAACTACCAGCCAGAGACACAGCTGCCAGATGGTATTTACACTGAACATCCCTTTGCATTTTCTCTAAATCACTGAGAATCTATTCTTCCCTCTCCCTCATTCACCCATTCCAACACTCAGATCTCTTCTGCACAACCTGGAGGGGGAACTCAGCTCTCTCTCCACTTCCAGTAGTTACTGGGGGGCATCTGTTTTCATTGCTTTAACTAATATCTGGCTGTATTTGTCTTTGACAATGCAACTCAAAAAGTAATGTAAGGTTGTGATTTAGCATGATTATCTTTTTTTCTGTTGTTCTATATTTTCTTTGTCTTTTATCCAATAAAATGTATTGATCCTATAGCAAAACAAACAAGCAAAAAAAAAAAAAGCTAAAAATAACTCAGAATGAAGAGCATGGAAAAAAGTGTCCACAAGCAATTTAAACTGCCTACCAAAGATCAGTGAAGTTTCTCTCCTGATTCTGACATCTTCCAGAACAAGCAGACATGAAAGAGTATCAACAATTCCCTATTCTGGGCCCCAAAATGTACATATATCATCTTACTAAATCCTCATTAAAAACTCGAGTAGAGTGTTCTTCTTATCCAAATATTAGAAGAAGGAAAGTGGTGGCTCCGAGAAGTTGGACTAGCTTCCTAGCGTCACAAAGTGGTAAGCAGTTGAGGAGGAACAAGTTACCACATTCCAGGCCTCATTCCAGGACCTTTGGCGTAAGATACGGAAGGCCCAAGTTGTAGTCCTGACTCTGTACCCAACACTGTTACCTGTAACCCTGGTGGTTCTCTTCCCCTCTTTGACCCTCAGTTTCTTCACATATACATTAGGAAGTGCATGGGCCCAAAAGGTATGTCAAGTTTTTTCCTGCTCAGACGTGCCAGATTTCTGTTCTCAGTAAGCAGCCTGTGACAACTCGAGGCTAAGCCAGAGGTCATCCCCAATAACTGAAGCAGACACCCACACACCAGTGACCCACGCCCTGCCCCACCTTGAATTCCTCATGAATATGTTGCTCCAAGATTTTGGTAGCCTTGCGGTCCTCCATCTCTACCTTCCACTTTTCTGCCAGGATTCGGGCTTTTTCATTGGCCAGAGCATCCCGGAACTTCTTAGTGATCTCTGCTTCCTTCTGCTTCCTTTCAAGAGAACACCAGCAAGAATCAGCCTGAGTGAAAGCCTGAAGGACCCCGTCACAGTGGACTTCAGATAACAGCAATGAGAAATCTTTCTTGGGTCTATGGAATGGACCCAATTCAACACTGGCAAAGGCTGGAAGAAATAGGCACTGTCACATAGTGGGCGTCACCCAGCCAAATCATTCTCGGAGCCCCCAAAACCAGACTTAGAAATCCCACATCTCACTCAACTATACAAAGGGGTATGCAGGAAATGTTCAGCAGATTTTTATAGCAGAAAATGGCTAGCAACTTAAATTTTTATCAATAGCACAAATAAGCTGGGTTTCCCACTTAATAGAATATTATATAATAATCTTAAATAGTGATTTGGATTTGTTTTCATCAATTTGTCAAAATGTGAATAAAACACTTTGCAAAGCATGTATCACCTAAACGCTCACTGTAGTTTTCTTAGGTGATGGATGTTGATTGTTGTCTAATTTATTCTGTATATTTATTTGGTGTTGTTTATATTTTTTACATGTTTTTACAATTTTAACTGTTAAAGCTCCATCACTCAAAATTGGGATGGAGGGGTTGGAGTCAACTGCCTATGGAATTCCATGTTAGGTGGAAATGTTAGCTGTTTATAAAAGGAGGATGACTCCAAACCTCGCCCAGGACTCACCTGTCCTTTGCAGGTGAGAAACATGGGCAATAGGAACAAGCAAAGAACAGAACAGAATCCAAATTGCTTTCCTGTCCCCACGAAAGCCAAGAGAAGGCAAAGGAAATGCACATGGCATACATATCTAGGTGGTTCCACTCTGCCGGTATGCAGGAAGGAGCTGTTCGGCCCACACCACTGATATGAAAGCGCAGGCCTAGGTCAGCTAACTGCTAGCTAGTAAAGCCAGGATTTGAACCAACCAGGTTACTGGACACAGGACTGCAATGCTTTGGTCGCCTGCTCTTAGCAGAGCTCAACTGACTGACACTTCCTGCCTCCCTCCCACCCATTCTCTCTGGTCCTATGCTTGAACCCACCCCAGGGCTCAGGCCCCTCACACCCCTCGTGCCCACGTCCCCCTCACCAGAGCTCCTCAGCCTCCCTCTGCGCCTGCAGCCGTGCCCTCTCAGCGATCAGCTCCTCTGAGATCTCTTCATAAGGCTTGTCACCAGGGCCTTCTCCCATGACCCAGACCCAGACCTCGCCATCTGCTCCCAGGAGCCACTGGATGTGCCTGGTGCTGGCTGCCACACAATAGGAGGAAGAATCATAGAAGAAATAGAAACATGTCTGATTTCTAGTCAGTAAGGGATGGTTTAAACTGGCCCGTGCACACAGCCATCACATCACTCAGCCATCATCCACCAAAGGAGCCAAGGGAGAGGCGACCTGAGGGCTCCTCTGTATCCCATCCCTCCCTTCCCTCTAGGGAGGAGTACGATAGCCCAGCCAGTCTGCCGGGGTACAGTCCAGGGCCAAAACTGGCATCTGAGACTGAGCCCTCTTGAGCTCCTTGTCTGAGAGGGTACCAAGTACCAGGGCAGCACTCACTGTTGGAAGGTACTTGTGTCACACCTGGGCTGAAGCACTTAGTGGCTGGGACCCTTCTCTGAACATTTTCCTGCGTCCACTGCTAGAAAGAGAACCAGAGATGGTGGATTGCAAGAGGAAGTATTCTGGCGCCTGAGTCTCAGTGATCTGTATCAGACTGTCATGTGAGCAAGAAATAAATCTATGCTAGATCCAGCCACTGAGATTTCTCAGTTTGCCTATTACAACAAATTCCACTAATTACCGTGAATAAAATAGAAATCTGTCTTAAAAACAGGCTGCAGCTGAAACAAATATAAGCTCCTTGCTACTGCCTTAGCAGTCGGGTGGTGAGAAATATTTAGTGGGCTGTGACTGGAGACCCATGTAATGCAGGAGCAAAGCATTTGGTAAACATGTCAAACACGATCACCTAAAAGGCAGGTCCCCATGCTTCCTGAACTTGTCATTCTAAGGGAAGAATTTGGAGCACAAATCCTTAGTAATGTGTATTGGTTGCTAGTGGCTGTGTTTGGCAAAATGTTAAAGAAATGAGTTCATAGAACAATTCAGTGTTTTGAAACTAGAAATGAAAAAGAAGAGAGACAATACAGAAATGTTGGGCTCCGTACGGTTGGAAAAAAACATCTAATATTCTTCTAGGGCCCAAATTGAAGAGACAGGACGATTAAAGGTTCCTCATGACAGACCCCAAGCAAATTTCTTGGGTGAATAAAATAACCTAGGACACAAAGCATTACGGTGGTTATAAGAATGTGCTGCACTAACTCCCAACTTGAGGGGCATAAGTAACCAACCTCTCCAGCCCCAGTGAGGCAGGAGGTAGCTTAAAGATAGCTATAGAGAGAAGGAAAAATTGCCTTGGAGCCTGCTTTCTGGGCTAGATCCACCTTTTTTTGAGTTAAACTTTAACCCAGGCCTGAGATTTCCAGGTCTACCTACAATGGAAGACAGTAACCACGTAACTCGTTATACACAGTAAATCTCTGAGCATCTTCCCGGGGGTCTTCAGCAACTCTTGGCCAACCTCAGCCCTAATTATCATGTTATTGACTATGTAGTTTTGGCCCCACTCCCATGGGCTTTAAATATGATGAAAGTTCCACTGAGGGCTGTGAGAGACTGCTTGGGCCTGCATAAGATGGCTGCCCTCAACCTTAGCCTTTGCCTCGGTGGAAAAATCCCACTAGACTACGTACGTGACTTTTGGCAGGTTTAGCCCCTGGGCAAACAGGAAATCTTACAGAAAAAATAGCCCTTTGTGCTAACCACAGGGTCACGGGATCTGGAGCAGGAAGCAGGTGGTATTTCCCTGTCCTACTTGCCCCTAGGGATTGTGAAGTTAAAGATTGCATAGGGTTAATTGTTGATGTACACCTTCCCACTTACCCCTCCCCACATTTGGTAAAATACTGATTGCTGTATGCTGCTAAGTGCTTTGTCCCTTTATGGTTAAATGCTTGAATGACTCATGTGATTGGTAGAAGATTTGTTTGAACTGTCCAATAAGCTTGCTGAACCTTCCCCCTGGGATAACAGTATATAATCGTTTTGCTGAGCCAATAAAGCGCCTTTGATCAGAAACCAGACTTGGGCCGTGTACTCTAACTTCTTAAAGATTTCCTCCACAGACATTCAAGATCGGATCGGCCTCTGATGACCCACGAATAAGAGGCGGCTCTCACCTCCTATTCCCCGCGGGACGGGGTCCCCCCAGAGAGCCGCAGAGGGCCATGAAAGTTCAAAAATTCCACTGCCCAATGGAGAAGCAGAGCCAAACCACTTATTGGCAAAGGCAAAACTTAGGCCAACCCTCAGTCCCACCCCAAATCCTGAGGTTTAAAACCCTCAGGACCAGGCCCCCTCAGGGCCATGTGCTCTTCTCACTTACCTGCTCCCACCCCAACCTGTATAATTTCATTTTTGATGAATCTTTGATGCTGCTGTTCCTTTTTTGGTGTCCTGCTCAAATCTTTGTCGAGGACACCAGGAATCTGTGAATAAGACTCCTGATCTGATAACACTGGGACCCTTGTGTTTACCAAAGGCCATGTTTCCCAGAAGTTGCCCAGCTTCCAACATGCCACACTCATTCCTGGGAGACCCCCATCTCCTTGCAGAACCTCCTTTGCACAGCATGGCTGCCTAGAACACATCTTCCAAACCTCCCTTCTCTCTCCTTCACTCAAGGTCAACCTGGCATTTCAGCCTCCTCTATTCTCCTGCTCTCTTTCTCACACAGGCACTGCCCTTAATTAATCCCTTTCGTGATAAATCCCACCCTGGCCTCTGCTCTTCAGAGAAGCCAGCCTGACCAAGAACCTTAAAATTGTGATCTCTAGCCAGAGATTTAGTTCAGTGGTGCTGTCACTTGCCTTGTAAGCACAAGGTCCTGAGTTCAATCCCTAGTACCAAAAAAAAAACAAAAAAACAAAAAAACAAAACACCAAAAAGTGTGATCTCTCACAGTTTTACAAAGAACCTCAAGGTAGATGTTCTACAGGTGAAAGGAAGATGTATAGGAATAAAGAGTCAAAGACATGTGAATGTCAGACAACATATAGAAAAGACTTTTGGAACTTATTCCTGGGACATGGAAGCAAATAGATGAGAAACCTCCTAAATTTTTGAGTCTGTACTAAAAAGTGTTAGATTGTTGAAGACTCAAGAAAACCTTTGGATACCTACCTGCTATCAGCAGGAGGCAGGTTACAAGGCTACCTTGATCCAAGGAAGGCCAGTCCAGGGAAGGTTCACTTCAGGGAAGGCCAAAGGGGATCATGACCAAGGAGGAGCCAAGGCAGGAACTCCTCAGAACCTTGCCCACCAGGCTTCAAGCTGCTACAAACTGTGTGTCTTACAGTCCTCTTTGTCCAAGTGCCCTTAGAGATGCCTGGCCCTGGTCCAGTACTATATACTGTAGCTTAAGGGTGAGGAATTGTTCAAATGTCTTGTGTTTATAGTATATTCAGACTAATGCAAAACCTTAAAGACCATAGACTTTGAGCTCAGTGGCTTACTGCCTTGAAGGAGTAGTATTTCATGCAAGGAAGAATAAAGTATGTAAATTATTAGGATGACAATCTTTGACATTGGCAATGCTATGTCCACTAGACATAGTCCTCTTCTCGAGCCCACCAATGGCTACAGTTGCCCTCCAGGTCCTTCCAGTCCCATGGCACCTTATGCTTGACTTCTAATCCATGGACTATCAAGGGAAATGATTGGTGCCACTTCCAGGTTGAAGCTGTTAACAGTGGACAAACCTTCCCACATTTTCTCTCTTGTCCACCCTTCTGGAAATAAATAACACCAAAATGACAGAATCTCAAAGAAATAAAGCAGCTGATCCATGAGTCAGTATCTGAAAGAAAGTACACAGAAGTGCTACCCAACCAACACCAAACTGTGATGTAATCAAGAAATAAACCATTTTTGTATTAATCCACTGAAATTTCAGGATTCGTCTATTGCACATGGCAGCATTAATTCCCCTAATATAGGAAGGCACTGGGTTTTTTGATATATTAAAAGCAATATAATAATAGAGAAACCGGGTTAATTGTTATACAGGAAGGCAACTGCTACTAGAATTATGAAACCTGTTAGGGAATTGATCATGTTAAAGTGTGCTGTGACGCCACCATCACAGGCTGCATTTTTCTGGTACTTCTTGGCTCCTAAAATGATCTCATGCTCTTATCTTTAGTTTCCCTCCCACCAAGGCCACAGTGGTCCAGAGAAGTTGAAACCTGTGTCTGCAGGGCTGGACCCATAAAAAGCAACCTGGCCTGTGATAGGTTAAAAGTAGCTCACTCCTCATAAATAATCAATAGCCCGGCCCAAAACTGATAAAAGGACCTTCCTTTCTTTGTTCTTCTCTCTCCTTCTGCTTCTTCTTCTTCCTCTCTCCTTCTGCTCTCTGCTCTCTGCTCTCTCTGTCTCTGCTCTTTCTGTCTGCTCTATCTCTCTCCTCCCACCCCTTGAATAAAATCTCCAGTCGGACCTCTCGGTGTGTGTGTGGCCTAGTTGTTGAGTGTCACTGTTCCCTTACAAAACCTGTCCATTAATAGTGGGGGAGAGTAAGTAGTAAGAGGCTCGCTACACCTGCAAAGTAAGTAAAGTGAACAGAGTCTTATGGTTTGGATCTGGAATGTTCCACGAAGGCTCAATCTGTTGAAGGCTTGGTCCCCAGCTGTTAGTGCTGTCAGGCTATGGTAGAGACTTCAGGAAGTGGAGCCTGGTTGGAGGAGGTGGGTCACTGGCAACGTGCCTTTGAAAGAGACATTTTGTCCTTGGATACTGCCTCTCTCTCTCTCTGCTGCCTGGCTACCATCTGGTGAGTAGCTTTCCTCCACCACTGCTCTCCACTATGATGTCCTGCCTTCCATGGTCCAGAAACGGCACAGCTGGCTGACCATGGACTGAAACTTCCAAAACTATGAACCAAAATAAACCTTTCCTTCTTTAAATTGTTTTTCTTGGGTATTTTGTGACAGAAATCAAATCTGACTAACAGAGAGAGGACAATAAAAAAAGTACAGCTAAACAGCAAACATTGTCAATTTCTACCTACTCTCTACTCCAGGCCACCTTCCTCCTTCTCCATAGAACCCCTGTTGTTTGGGGAATAGCAAGAAATTCTTACATTCACAAAAGCTGAGTTTCTATCCCATAATAAAAGGACAAATAA